GGATGTGATCAGCTAAGTACACAATGTGGGGAATTATACAGGGTATATCATCGAATTTCTTCCAAGGGAAATAGGAAAGAATAAAAGAAACACTATGAATGAAAGAAATTTGAGAAATACTTCAATCACACGCAATGTGTGAATCTTGATACAAATAGAACATTCAGAAAAAAAGCAGAGGTTATTTAGGCATTGACTGGATCGTTAACAATAGCTTTTAAACTGCAATCAGTTTTTAAATGTATGTGTATCCATTCATTTATTGTGCTGCTGTGGATCAAACCCAGGGCCCTGATCATGCTAGGTAAACACTCTACTACTGAGCTACCTCCTCAGCCCAGACTTACTTAGGCTGGCCTCATAATCATGGGCTCAAGTGATCCTCCTGCCTTGGCCTCTCATGTAGCTGGGACTAGGCACATGCTACCACGGCTGGCTGAAAGTCCATTTTTAAAATGTGATAGCCAAGGTCATGTTTTTCACATGCATATAACTTCATGTAACTATAAGTACCTATGTTAGATACTTTTGTCATTGCTATGACAATATATCTGATGAAAGCAACTTTAGTTTTATTTTGGCTCACATTTTGAGGGTATAGCCTATCATGGTGAGGAAGTCACAGTGGGAGCTTGAATCAGCTGGTCACATTGCAATTAGGAAGTAGAGAGAGATGGGGGCTAGGGCTCAGCTTGCTTTTTCTCCTTTTTATTCCATCCAGGACCCCAGCTGATTGTATAGTGCAGTGCCAACTCACATTCAGGGTAGGTTTTCTCTATTCAGGTAAACCTTTCTAGAAATACCCTCACAGACACACCCAGGGTTATGTATTTATAGAGATTCTAAATCCAATCAACTTGACAAAGATTAATCATCACATGTATTAAAATTATTAGATAAAATATGGTTTTTGGAGTGTCCTTTAAGGTAACATAATAGAGGAGAGAGGAAGTACTTGGGGTCTGACTTAAAATCACTAGCCATATGCTGATCATTCTTGAACCTGTTATGAGTGCATAGGGCTTCATTGTATTAGCCTCTCTACTCTGGGAGGTATTTGAAATTTCTCATATTAAAATGATTACAAAGTAATGATGCCTCTGCTCTTTCCCTTCAAAACTAAGCTTTGGGGATGTGGGTCTCTCCCTCCCCTTGCGGGCCGTTGGCCACCGATCCACGAGGACAAAGGGAGCAAAAGCGACAAACGGGTTCAGGACAGCCAGTGAGCACAACGGAAAAAGACTTTCCGGGGAGGCAGATTCAGTGGTACAGCTCCAGACTCAGTGATGCAGCTCCGTTTATTCAGTGGGGGTCAGGGAAAATATAGTGTGGAGGCAGCAGCCAAAGCTTCAGCTGATAGGTGCTCACAGTATGCTTTATTTACATGTGGTAGGGGATCCTATCATCTGACTATAGGGCAATGCCTAATTATCATATAAAAAAAAAAACTGGGGACAGTTTTATTGCAGGTAACTATGCCAAAGGTCGTGTTCCAAATATGCCAAAGGTCGTGTTCCAAATAAGGTCAGGCATCCGTGCTTGGTGGCACTTTCCAGATAAGTCAGGCAGAGAGCAGAAGGCCACTGCTGAGAGCGGGCGTCCTTCCACATAGAGCCGAGCCCCTTAGAGCTATCCGGACATGGAGGACTACAACCTTAGCAGCAGGGTCCCCCAACATAGGGATAAGACCCTTAGCTCTGCTAGGAAAGAAGAAAGAGGAATTGGAGAAACTGAGTGATACTTGGCAGGCAGTATACAAGCCAATGGTAGCAGGTTTACACCAGGGAAAACCAACTGACGCTTGGATCTAGTGATGAAAAAGTAAAGCGCAGAGGTTGTGCTGGGTGGAAGAGCTCAGCAACAAGGGCTGGTCCTACTGGCCTGTTGGACTTCTTTGAGCAAATGTATAGCCGAATCATGAGTCTTTGACTGTGGAATAGTAAAAAGGTACTTCGTTCATTTGAAACACTCTACACTCTGCTTGAGGTAGGCCTGTGAAAAGAGTAACGAAGTAACCCTGACTCTTAAGAAGGCCCAAAACCCTGTTTGGAAATCCGTATTGCTAGAATGAAATTAATGTGTGTACATGTTATGCACAAGTAACATGGAAAATAGGAGCACTCCTTTGCCTGTAACTAGTCAGGTTTCAGGAAGAAGGAAATGAATGTGTAAGACAGCAGGAAATGGCATGAAGCATTCTGGGAACTACAGGTATTTGTTTTGCTGGAACAGTGTCAGGAGTTGCCAGCCCCCACCCCCCGCCAACCTTATTCTAGATACTGGAACAAGGGAAAAGTCTTAAGCTTGAAATTCTACTGGCCTTTAAAAATTAGTTTACTAAGCCAGATGTGGTCCCAGCACTTGAGAGGCAGAGGCAGGCAGATCTCTGCGAGTTCAAGGCCAGCCTGGTCTACATAGTGAGTTCCAGGACAGCTGGGGCTACAGGGAGACCCTGCTTCAAAAAGACCAAAAAAAAGAAAAAGAAAGAAAATTAGTTTACTAATGGGAAAGGGAGAGGAGATTCAACTCAAGGATAATTCATTGTTGGGACCGAGGCTGAGTCTCCCATCACAGATGCAATCCAAGAAAAGCAAAGAGGAAGGGTTTGGGGTTCAACATAAAACACCTGGTGTGAGCCCCTTGTACAACGAAGGAAGATGAATGACTCAATCAGAACTCAAAGCCCTGAACTTCTTTTCCTGCCCCTTAAAGGTTTGTGGTAGAAACAAAGAGGTGAACAAGGTATGATTTCATGATCCACAACGTTTATTGCCACACAGAGAACTTTTTCCTTAGGCTCCCAATGTTTAAAGACAGGGAGGAAAAACGAACAAATATTATTGGGAGCTATTAGTATAAGCACAGCCATTATGTACAGTGAGCTGTGGCAGGCTTGCTTGTTTACTTTATGATCTTTCACCTTGACTCAAGAGTTTGTGTGTTTTCCACACCAGTACTGAATTGTTCTGCCAAGTCAGGAGGAATGTGTTGATAATTTAGGGAAGATGGTTAAATGGTGGAATTCACAAGTATTTGACGGTTCCTTGACCCTCAAAGGTGGGAAAAAACAGCTGTAGAAGCTAATTGAGCTAAGCAAACGGTGGCTATCTCTGATGTTCTAATGTATAAAAAGGCTGAGCTAAAATAAACCGGGGCTGCAGTCGCTACTGACAGTCCTCCCAAGTATCTTTCTCTGTCTCTTGTTTTTCTTTCATCCTCACTCCCCGTTTCAGGCGCCGTTCATCTTGGCCGGCTATCACCGACAAACTATCTCACAGGAAACACATTTAGTAGATGAGGTACATTAACCACAGTGACTTTCAAAATCATTAGTTCAGTTGCTCAGTTAGGATGGAAGCAGGCCTCTGTAGAGAGTAAAATCTAATTAAAGACTGAGTGTACCTCTATATAAGTGCATCTCAGGAGAAACTGGTTTGACCAGCACAGCAGAGATCTGGACCTGAGGTCCCTCAAAGCCACCGGGTGATAATGTGAGTGGGCAAGTCAGGCTTACGAGATTAAAGATCTGTCACAAATATACTTGTATGTGTTGGAGGAGGGTTTGTCAGAGAAGTGCCCAACAACGTATAGCTATGCCATAAGCTCTTTAAGTGTCCAACTCTTAGGTTTAAATGTATTTTGATATTTGATAGCTCACATAGAATGAGGTGTAATGTCACTTCAGGGGAAGGAAGAGCTCTCACACTTGGGGGTCTGGTAAGACTTCACGTCTCTGGAGAGATGGCTCAGCGCTTAAGAACACTGGTTGTTCTTGAAGACAGACCCATGTGGGTTCGAATCCCAGCACCGACCTGGCTGTTAACAACTATTTGCAACTCCAGTCCTAGGGGATCTGACAGCCTCTTCTGATCTCCTCGGACCTGACCTTCACCGGCACGGCCCGACACGGGTGCACTTACCTACATGCAGGCAATATACACATACACGTAAAATAAAAAAAATTTTTTTAAAAGTTAAAATAAACAAAAACTTCCCATTCGTCAAAGGAAGGGGGTAAATACCTTTCAAGAGCTCGAGATGTTGTACCACTCAAACTGCACAAACCCCAGTCCTGTACTTCAAGCTTTTATCAAAGCATTAGCATACATATAACAAACTATGTTAAATATTCGGGATCCTTTAATGGTATATAACAAAAAGGCTTCCTACCCACTGTGGCTTCATAGGACTATTTATCACCTGGCATTTATTTCCAAACAAATCCTTTCCCCTTTTTTTCTCTTTTTAAAAAAATGTTATGTATTTTTATTGCATGTGTTTTGCTTGCATGAATGTAAGGGCACTACATGCATGCAACGTCCACAGAGGCCAGAAGGGGGCGGTGGATTCCCCTGAAACTGGAGATACAGCAGGTTGTTAGCCACCTTGTGGGTGCTGGGAACTGAACCTGGGTCCTCTGCAAGAGCAGCCACTGCTCTCCAGCCCCTCCCCCACCTAAGTGCTCATTTAAATAGCAGCGTACATTATATTGAGAAAAAAAAAAGGGCTTTTGTGACTAACCCTTGAGAGAAAAATGATACATCAATTAAATGCGTTACAAAACTGGTAACAAAACGCATCCGGCTAATGCGTGCGACGCTTTCATTTTTATTTCTAGGTGGTTTAGACAGCCAGGGCTTTTTGCCATTTGGCCCGTTAAGTCCATCTACTCAACACCCTCTGGGAGATTTTACACACCCGCAGCCCCACGCCTGTCGGCCTTCCCGCGTAAGCTTCCCATTTCTCCCTATTTCTCCGGCGAGGAATCTCCCCGGACCTGGGGAGTCTAGACGTCCAAGCGGCATAACTAGGATGCGTCCCAGGCCTGAAGCAGAGCACACACACCGCCCCATGCGCTCCAGGGATCGCTGGGCCACCTACCTCAGCAGGGGTGGAGCTCAGGACCTGGCGCCTGCGCACACCAGGGGAAGGGGCTTCTGGCACGACCCCGCCCCTTCCGTCGCCACGCCCCCACGCTCCACGCCCCGGCAGGTGCGCGTGCGCCGCGGCCCCGCCCCCCGTCGCGCTCCTCTGGCTCTCTGGGACAGGCGTCTCCTCAGAGCTGTGGCCCTGCCGGTCGCGCAGAGCCTTGCTTGGCGCCCCCTCTAGTCCTCAGCAGCCCGGCCGCCGGGCCATGGCGGGGAGCCGGCAGCACGCAGCGGCCGTGCAAGCTCGCGGCGCGCTCACGCTGCTGGCGCTGGTCCTGTGTGCGCCCGGGGTGGGCGGCCGGGCGCTCGAGTGGTACTCGGCCGTGGTGGGCATCAAGTACATGGACCCGCAGTCCAACCGGACGGTGTGGAGCGAGTCGGAGAGCGGCCGCTTCGGCGATAGCTCGCCTAAGGAGGACACGCAGGGCCTGGTGGGCGTCCCGCACGCGCCCGCGGACGTGGAGGGCTGCGCGCCCGACACGCGCTTCTTCGTGCCGGGCGGCCGGGGCGCGGCGCCCTGGGTCGCGCTGGTGGCGCGCGGCCGCTGCACCTTCAAGGACAAGGTGCTGGCGGCGGCGCGAAGGAACGCTTCGGCCGTGGTGGTGTACAACGAGGAGCACTATGGCAACGCCACCGAGCCCATGTCCCACGCGGGTGAGCAGCACGGCAGCTGGAAGGGGCGCGGACCCCCGGGGCGGGGGGTCCCAGGGGATTCTGGGAAGTCCGGAATTGGAACCCTGTGGTTTCCCAGGCGGAAGGTCGGATCTTCCCCTCCCGTGCCTGAGAGGGCGGGGGTGAAAGTGTTAAAGAAATGCAGCTCGATTGCTCTTTCTCGGGAGCAGGTGCTATGCCTCCTGATCCCTAATCTGGGGTCCCTCCGGGTCCCGTCACCGTCTCCCAAAGTTGGGTGAGTGGTGGGTAGGCAGGAGTTGAGGCGCTTCCAGAGCACCCCAGGTCTCACTATCTCCTGAAGTGATGGCTTAGTGGCTCTTGTTTCTTCAGTTTCACGAAGCATATCTGAATATGCGAATTTTTGAGTCAGAAATCCTGGGCTCTTTCTGTCCGCTTTCTCCTTGCCTCGTGGAGGTTTCGCACACTGACCTGACAGCCAGTCTTATTTTACAGTCTTGACTTTAGATGAAATCTTGTTACTGTGTTCATTGAAGAAAAGACCCTCCTCTCTGCCTGGAGACCCGTCCTCTACACGCGCTGTTTCAGGGACAGCGGGTTGCACCTTCAGATAGTAATGAGTAAGTCCTAGGTTGCAAAATACCATCCCTGGAACAGAGCTCTGCTCCCAGACTGCCGTGGCATTTCTTGTGTGTCTTCTAAGATCGCGTTAGCTATTACACAGTTGACTCATTCTGAATTTCCTGTGATTTAAATTTTTGTCTAAGTTTCTGCTGCTACTAAGTAATCAGACATCCTTTTCCTGTACTGTAATTTTGTTGTTCTGTTTTGGCTTGAATGCAACTCAGAATTATAAATTAAAGACGGGAAAAGTGACATGGGATTGGACCATTTTTATAGAACGTTAGGGATGGTGGTTGAGAGGCAAGAAGTGGTCGCCACATTTAGATGACCTCTTAAGAAAATCGACCAGAGAGTAGCAGGTGCAGAGAAATCCATAGAAAATGGGGATGGGCAGGCGGGCGGGGACGACACGTCGGGACAACACGAGTTTGAGGTTGGATGGAAGTAGTCTGCTAGATCCCAAAATGGAGAAGTAACAAGGAAGTTGGGTTTTGGAGATTAGTAGACTTGGTTGGCTGCAGACAGTGGTGGGTGGGAATGAGTGCCGATGTCTGTGTGGTGGTCTTGGGCCAGGCACTGTCTTTGGTGCAGTGACTTTAGTGATTACGCATTGTCCTCATTGTCATTGTACCGAATCCCTGTCCTAAGACTCATAAAGATCCTAGCATTCCAGATGCACGCTGTGTGTAGTGTTATCAAGTTTGGTTCTGTTGATGAAAATAAGTCAGCATGCTGGTCTGATTTCTTGATGCTGTCTGAACACTTAGGGATGCATACACATCTTAATGTAGACTTCTTTTAAATGGCAGGCTCATCACCCTACAGTTTTCCAACTCTACCCTACTGCATTTTTTTATAATGACATTAACATCCTTCCAGGCAGACAACCCTTGTTCTAACCATAGTCCAGCAGCCTTTCTTGTTTATATTGTTGACATGTAATTTATCCAATCCCAGAAAAACACCTCAAAGTTAATTTAAAATCCACTTGGGGTGGGAGGTGACCCTGTTATTGCCATTATCTGCATTCCTTCTAGCCTTTTTAACATAACAATAATTCTGAGATTTAAAAGGAGGTGAGAAAGAGATTAGCACCTTTTTAAAAATGTGTGACAGTACCCATCATTGGAGATAAAGAGTAAAAAGTGTTCTCTATATTGTGAGTCACTTGTCTTCCTGACAGTCCTTTAAGGTAGATCCTTAACTCCATTGTACAGGTAAAGAAATTCATACTCAGAAGCATTTTAAAACTTGGTGATCTATAGGCAGGTAATTGTGGTAGGGGCTGTGTATTGTAGAATGTTTAGCTGCAGCCCCCCACCCCTCCATTCCAGGCACATTTCCACTATTGTGATAACCAGAAATGTCTCCATATTTTACCAAATCTTCAGGGAGTAACAAAATTATCTAGCATTTTGAAACACTGACCTTAAAGAAAGATTAATTTGATAGTAATATGATTGATATGTTAAACGGGACAACCTGGAAATAGTTAGACTGGGTAGTTCAAGTTGAACTATAGGGTCCTGTACTGTATAAAGACTGCAGAAAAGGGGCTGGAGAGATGGCTCGGTGGTTAAGAGCACTGGCTGCTCTTGCCTAAGACCAGGGTTTGGCTCCCAGCACCCACATGGCACCTAACAACCCTCTGTAACTCCAGTTCCAGGGGATATGACACCCTCTTCAGACCTCTGCAGGCATTGCCTGACATGGGTGCACTTACATACATGCAGGCAATACACTCCTACACATAAAATAATAATAATAATAAAGACTGCAGAAGAAAAGTTGACCCTCACAGAACTTGGCCCAGTTGGGTACTAGGGTATGACTGTGTCATCACTTTGAGAATAGAATTAAGAAGAAGTTGGGAGAAACCAGCTTGACAGACTAAGTTTAGGATGAATGTTTATCCACTGAAGCTGCTTAGATTTAGGTTGATTTCCTCTATTTGGTCGAATGTAGCTGGGGCCAGAAAAACCCACTGATTCAGCTGTTCTTGGTGCTGATGTGTAACATTAGATTTCTACGAAATGCAAAGGTGTGCTTCCGAAATTGAATACTGAAAATCTTCCTAAGTCTCGAAGAATTTCTCAAGTTCTGAAACCCATTGCTTGCTTCTCTATCAGAACAGCAGTAGGACTTAAAATTATGCCCAAAGTTCTGTTTTTAAGAGACTTACATTTACCTACCTGCCGAGGGTTGGACATGCACAAGACACATGGCCACCTATAAGGGGTTTATAGTCTATTAGGAGTGATGAACCTAGTTTTCCAGACCAGGTGGTTTGGACTTGACTGAATTATATGCAGAGATGCTTAGAGAGCATAAAGGAAGGCATTGATGTTGAAAGTTGTAGAAATTAGCTTGATCAAGATAGGTAGAAGTGGATAAAAGCTAAATCATTGAACAAAATCTTTTTAGTATTGGCCTTCCTGTGGCTGTTTTGGGTTAATTAATAGGATGCTCCTCTAGCTGAAATTTTGGCATAGCCTTGTCAAGAATGACATTTTAAATTGTTGAACAGTTGTTTAATAGGTGCCAAATAAATGGCAAGGCTTAGATCTAAAGTCTGGTGAAAGGGCTTGATTGGGATAGCACAGGGGAGAGCTCAAAGATGTATAAGAAGTATCCACCTTTAGGGAAGGGAAAATATATATTAAGAGGTGCTCATTTTGTGCTGGCAGAGCATGTAAAATAATCTCTTATGAATGAATAATTCTTAGTCATCTATAATACTATACTCCCAAATGGTCTACAGTGTTAGATTTTAATTTGAAATGTATTTTGGTGCTGTAAGAAGCCAGAAGTGGCACTCTTAACAGCTTCCTTAAAAAATGAGATCAAGTTCAGTAGTTCCCTAGAAAGAATGAGTGTTGATGGACAAGTTAAAGGCCATAGGAAGTTGTGTACAAGTGTGGTAAAAGTAAGTGGGCTCTAGGAATTTCCATGTGGCAGGAATAGCACTGCAAGAGGCCAAAGGTCTGAAGTACTAATATGGAAAAGCTGCAAAAGATGGTTGTAGTATTTTCAACAAATCTATTTTTTTGTGTGATGGTGTGTTGTTTTGTATTTGTGTTTGCTCATGATAAGGTCTTAAGAGACTCAAGCTTGCCTACCATCCAGTTCTGTTCTATATAGGAAGACATTTACAGTAATTCTCTGGATCATTTTAGTCATAGTCCTGGAAGGTAAGCCAGGTTTTCAAATCAGTTCATTCACACAGAAACTCTTCCATTAGCCTTCACTGTGGGGCTACAAAATCCTAATAAACAAAAACCAGATAGTAGCTATCTAGTGAGGAGAGAAATCAATAAAGAAATTGTACGAGGTGTATAAAAGGCTGGAGAGATGGCTCGTGGTTAGCACTTACTGCACTAGCAGAGGATCTGAATTTGGTCCTCAGCATCCATGTTAGGTAGCTCACAATTGCCTGTGACTCCAGCTCCAGGGCTAACAAACACCCTCTTCTGGCCTCCATAGGCACCTGTACTCACGTGCATGAGCACACATGTGTGCACACACACACAATTTAAAATATTTTGGGGGTTTTTGTTGTTTTACAACTTAAAATATTTTTTAAGGCCTATCTAAGAGGCAGTGATAACAGTGACTACAGGAAAAGCAGAAGTTGCTACAAAGTATAAGTTGAGCTTACTCTAAATCTTAAAGTTCTGATGAGGATTCTCCCAGTAGAATAGAAGTGACCAGAATGTCGTGGTTATTTGGAAAAAAGAAAACCTAAACATTTGTGAGATTATGTTCCTGGAACTTCAAGATGGTTTCTTGTTGCTAAGTTAATTTTCTTGACCAGAAATTGAATCTACTACTTTAAATATTTCAGTAGCTCTTATCTCCTTCAAGCTGGTGTTGAAATCTAAATAGTTCCCTTGGGAGGAGAAATTGTATACTATATTCATGTCTCACTGCTAAATTCTGAAGTTGTTATCTGAGTACAATTTTTTTTCCACAAATGTGTTGTTTAGTTTTTGACAAAGCCATAAAAGGAGCACAAAAATTTGAAAAGGGAATGGATATCATTTTACTTTTGGCATCAGAAAATTTTAAATTATATTACCGGTAGTTTGGCCTGTTCAGATGCCATTTTATATCTGTTTTCAACAAGAGGTTTATGACCATATAGATTATATACAATGGGCAATGACAGTGTGCTCAGTGTAAGACAAAAATAAAACAGAAACTGCCCTAAGGAAGTTATCCTGCCTAATGGTGAGATGTAGAGTGCTTTGTGGGGGTGAGATTGTGCAAGATGACCTTTTTTAGTCAAGCAAGATTGATTACAACATTAACCCTGAAGAAGAAAAAAATTAATTCCAAAGGCTTTTTTTAATTTAATTTAAATTTTTTTTTTTTTGGTCATTTTTGAGACAGGGTCTCTC